AGAAGGCTCAGAGTTTCTTAGGCTGCAGGTGGAAGGAGGTGGCTGCTCTGGATTCCAATACAAGTTTTCCTTGGACACAGTTATCAATCCTGATGACAGGCAAGGATAAAGAGGTGTAAAGGATAAAGGGGTCGGGTGTGACTGTTCTTTGCAAAGGTCACAAGAAGGGTGGGTGTTACATGATAGTATCTTGAATTGAAGGGGAGAAGCCTGTGAAATAAGGAAAATGCTCAGGCTGTGCTGCTCTGTTGGCTCTGCAGCACAGTTAATGGTTAAACATGCTGCTTTTCTGCAGGGTGTTTGAGCAAGGTGGTGCCCGCGTGGTCGTGGATGTGGACAGCCTGGCCTTCGTGAAAGGTTCCATGGTGGACTTCAGCCAGGAGCTGATTCGCAGCTCCTTCCAGGTGGTGAGCAACCCCCAGGCAGAGAAGGGTTGCTCATGTGGGACTTCCTTCTCTGTCAAATTCTGACTGGACTTCCTGTGGATGGACGCTGTCTGCAGACACTTCCTGACAGTCTCCGGAGGGTTTTTGCTTATTCTTTTCCCAGCTGCTCCCTCCAATCTCCCTTACCCTGTTACACATAACTTCAGCTGTTTGTGTGCCAGCACTGAGCGTACCTCCAAGACTTATTGGCCTTCCCTTCAGAAGAGGAAGGTCTTTCGTGAAGTAGCCGTGAGCATGCACACTGGAGCATCTCCAGCGCCTTGGGAATCTGTGGCCAGGTGGTACTGACTCGCCTACGCTGTCCTGAACGTGGAATCACTTAACTGCTTGTCTCTGCAAGAGATGGCTGTACATGTGTGTATGTGTGTATTGAAAGTTCCTACTAAAAAAGTCTTTGAGGTTGACTGGTATTGCTCGTGGGTTCCCACGTGGGTAGAGTCTGGGTTCTTTCAGGCTGCTGTTGCTTACCCCTTGTCTTCCAGCTGAATGGGACTTGGAGTTTTTCTCACGTACATCTCCCAGTGTTGCTGGTTCTCCACTCCCCAACTCACAGTGGGCTTTTCCAGCTACTTGCCCAGCAGGCTTTTCTCAGTCCCAGGAACCTACAGTGGTTTTGCTGTCAGTCCCAGGGATGAAAGTTTTTACTTGTTCAGAGTAAGTGAAACTAAAAAAAGAGGAGGTAGGAAGAATTCATAGCTTATTTCTAGTATTAAAAAAAAAAAAAGCTTGTAGATATATATATATAAATAAAATACACAGCCATCCATCTCCTGTGCTATTTTAGGCTGTTCTTAAACCTGACTTGGGATTTTAGGTCATACAAACTCTAGGGTTTCATAGCATGTCTGCTGCCTTCCCTTGCCAGCAGGAAGGGAAGTTCAGGTGATGCAGGCAGAGGAGGATCTGGAGTAGTCCTTACGGGTCCTCAAGTCCTTCTGACTTAGTTGTCTGAGAATCTTTTCTATAACTTGCTTCACTGTTTAATCTCTGTCTAACTTGTGCCTGGTTTGATGAAAGAATGAAATATCTCCTTTCCTTTATGAAACTCCCATGGAATAGGAGATCTAGACATTTCCAGAATAACATCCTTTTGATTAGTTGTTTTCTGTAGTTTTTTATCTGCCACTAGATGTCTTTTAAATCAAAGTGATTCACCTGCTTCTGTGTGAAAGGAGGGATGAGGAAGCTATTTTTGTTCCCTCTCTTGTGTTTTATCTGATCGTACACAAATTGTCTAAGACTTGGGCCTTTCACATGAGTGTGGGAACACTGCCTGACTTTGGTCTCAAGGAAACTGCTTTTGGCAAACCATGAGCTTTTGAAGACTCCATGCCACAGGCATTTTGATGTTAATCTTCCCAGTTGCCTTTCTAAACTAACCAGCATTGCATACGTACAGCACTGATTTGCTATCGGCTCTAGCACTCAGATTTGATGGTCAGCTAGTTTTAGTTTTATCCATAGCTGTTACTGGAGTTCATATGTGGTCTGCTCTGACTTTGTCAAGTGGGGAATGTGGACAGGATTTGGAGCAGCAGCTCTTTTGGTTTAGCCCTTTCCATTTCTGTCTCCTGCAGTTAGCAAGTTCCACCTAGTTACGTTTCTGTAGGAGGGAGCTGGATGTAGCACTGCCCGGTTTTGTGAAAGGGAGTAAATGGATGTGACAAAAGACTTTCCCAAACCCCTGCAGGATGCTTTGGCCCTACCCTTATGCTCCCAGGTCTTAGAATCTTCGGTTGGAAGGGACCTTAAAGATCATCCAGTTCCAACTGTGCTGCCATGGGCAGGGACACCTTCCACGAGACCAGGTTGCCCAAAGCCTCATCCAGCCTGGCCTTGAACACTTCCAGGGATGGGGCATCCACAGCTTCTCTGGGCAACCTGTTCCAGTGCCTCACCACCCTCTCTCTGAAGAATTTCTTCCTGTTGCCCAGTCCAAATCTCCCCACTTTCAATTTGTACCCGTTACCCCTTGTCCTGTCACTACAGGCCCTTGTAAAAAGTCCCCCCAGCTTCCTTGTAGCCCCTTCAGGTACTGGAAGGCTGCAATAAGGTCTCCCCGGAGCCTTCTCTTCTCCAGCCTGAACAAGCCCAACTCTCTCATCCTGTCACCATAGGAGAGGTGCTCCAGCCCTCTGAGCAGCTTCATCTTGGATGTGATGGCAGCCAGAGCTGCCTTTGGAAAGTGTAGGACCTAAAAGCTTGTGTAGGTAGAAGACCTTCTATAACCTCAGTTTCCTTCGGCAGGGATAGCTAAGCAGTGAAGGTTGGCGTGAGGAGTTGCTGTCTGAACCGGCAGGTAGATCCGTTCTTGATCCTTTTCACACAGTCTGACCTTGGTCAAGACTCTTGGGATCTTTTATGGGAAATGAAAGGTTGATGATGGGGAGGCTGCAAACCAGCAGTTACCACGGCTTTTTTTTTTTGTTCTAAACTAAAGCCTGCCTTCAGCCCCTGTAAGCTCGCCGCCTTCACCTTGGGTTGCTGCCCTTACTAAACGGGAAGCGTGCGGTGCCTGCTCAGCCGGCCAGTTCCGCCTGCCTTCCCTCCCTCTGCACGGATGAAGCGAATCGAGCAAGTGCGCGCAGCGCCACCCTCGTCAGCGTCTCCCTCCCGGGGGGCTGTACGGAGGGTGAGGCTTTGGGTCCCCCCCCGAACCACCGGCGGCCCCGCTGGGCGCGGGGGCAGCTCGC